CGAGTGATGTAAGTTTAGGGGGAGAGCTCAGGTGTGAGTGCGATGTTCGGGGAAAACAAACGTGTCGGTCAGTTCACACCCCGGTGTGATCCCGTCTGGGGCAAACATTGTATCGTTTCATCGAGTTTTTCAACGTGTATGTGATCACATTCACGATAGTGGCTGATCTTTGACACGATGGACAGTTTATTGATCTCAACTTTTCACTCTTGGTTGATCGGCTGTCCAACCCGGGTTTTTGTTCCGCAAATTATTATCTGAAATGCAGGATCTTAGTAGAATGTAGACCTTCAGAGTGAATCAGAGCGGGATCTTATGGGTGACTTTTGTATAGTAAAAATTCTGTTTTCTTAAAACAGCGGGATCTTAAGCGAACCGGTATCGTAAGCGGTGGGATCTTAGGCGGAGACTACTGTATACGCTTAACTGTTTCAGCGGCTTGTCTTTCTTGTACTGAACGTATTTGTTCTGAGTCAGAGCTAATTGCTCCATATTGTTCCCAGTTTTTTGTTTTAGTCTTGCATTGCAATATATGTTTGAAATTCAACTTTCATTGTGAAACTTTTTTTTACTTGGCTGGCATTGTCCATTTCTCATCATTTTTTTTTTTGCGTTGTTTTTTCCCCCACCATTTTGTTCAGATTTTGTAGCAGCTTGTATTTATTATCTGTAAAGTCTAAAAATTTCCTAAGATACTGTTTGAATTTTGGTTTGTAGAGAGTGCAAAGTACTGAACTTGAAACTATGAATCATTTGCCCTTAAGACTGTTTTAGAAGAAGATGGTCATTGGCAAAGATAGAGGACCATAGTAATGTACCTTATTATTTATGCCTCATTGAATATTCAAACTGCCTGGCTAATGAACAAATTGCAAGGGAATTGTTGACATTGATTTTCAGTGACATTTTCAATGTGTATTTTTACTGTTTCTGTGGTTTTAGTTGTAATCATTTCTTTATTTTCATTGACAGGTCAAAATACAGTCATTGGAGAATGATTTGAAGGATTATCGTGGGCGATGTGACTTAGCGTAAGTATTTCACTGTGGATCTCAGGAAAGCGAAAGATTGCACTAATAGAAGAAAAAGAAGGAGAAAAGCAATTTGTTGTAAATGTGCAAGTTGCAAGTTTATTTTGGCTGTCTTCTCATAAAAATAGTCTTTTCAGATGATGGAAGAAAAATACTTCTGTTTCTCGAAAAACATTTTAAGCAAACTTACTCTCTTTGTGAAGATCACACCATCTGTTGTATTACTTTTATGTATAATATATATATATACATTGCCAATACATACTGCGTACGTTGATTTGACAAAGGCTTTTGCTACAGTCAGTAGATCAGGACTGTACATGATGCTCGGAAAAATTGGCTGTCCCCCAATACTACTACAGCTCATCATCTTATTCCACGAAGATATGAACGCCACCTTTCAGTTTGACGGTTCAACATCGATAGCGAAGTAAAGCAAAGTTGTGTTTTAGCACCAACCCTTTTAGCACTTATTTTGCTATCTCACTCACTACAACACGAATTCAAAGAGTCACCAGGGGATGTCTTCCTCCAGTGGAGAACAGATGGGTTGCTCTTCAATCTTGCTCGACACAAGGCCAAGACCAAGATCAACAAAACAAAACCCCCAGTGGGTCGGGGGGATATAAATAGACCCACTGCTTCGTCTGCAGAAGGTGCAACCCCTTCAAAGGCGAGGTGTCGCACTCGGACCCCAATCCTCTGAGATCCGGATGCGACACCTACTTTGGTGTATCTTCCTCTTCTCCTTCCTTCTTTCTTTCTTCTTCTGTCTTTCCTGCCACCGCTGACCTCATGTGCAGCAAAAAGAGAGGTCACCCATCCCACAGAGTGGGCGCCTTGTTGACCGTGAGGTGCGACCCGTGCGGAGGGAAACCGGGTACCTGGCGGTTGAGGTGAGAACAGTCCACGGACTGTCCCTCGCCAACACACCTCTTTGGCCTAGGTTTTCCTCTTAGACGGGAGGGTGGCACGGCCCATGCCACTCAATCGGTTGAGAGCTGAAACCCCATCAAGCCCTGGGTCAATCTTGACGGGAGGGTCTCGTACTTTCTCGTTGAGAGTATAGCTCCGGGGTAGCCCTGGCACAGCTCTGGATATCCGAGCTATGTGTCCCCTTGTTGGGCTCCGTGGCGGGCGGGGAGCCCCGGAGTCGAATCAAATAGAAAACTTTCATGGATTCCAAAAAACAAAAAGACCCTTCCCCAGCTCCCAACGTTAAAAAGTCTCGGCTCGCGGAAGCGGGTGCGGCCGCCGAGCCGAGCAAAAACTCAAAAAAAGGTAAAAGGACCTTTACCGATGCCTCTTTCCTCCCTCCTCCCAAGGAGCTTCTGAGGCAACCGTACGTGGCCATCTCCAGTACCAAAGACGCACAGAGAAGAATTACCGATCTCAACCTCTTTAAGACAGGAGATGCACTACGGAAAGTTCTGGGATACATTCCCACATGTGTACAGAAGCTTTCCTGTGGTGCACTCCTTGTCAAGTGCGCAACCGAGATAGAAGTGACCAAACTCCTGGATACCACGACCTTCGGCGGTATTCAATGTAAGTCAGAGCACTACCAAAAATTTAACCGCTCGAAGGGCGTGGTCCGCAGCCATGAGCTGAAAGGCTGCTCCATGGAAGAGATTGTGGAGCACTGTGAGGGAGTGGTCGAAGCCCGCCGGATTACTCTTCGGCGGGGGGAGACTACTATCGAGACGAACACGATTGTCCTAACATTCGAATCGTGTCGCCCTCCAGCCACCGTTCGGGCATCTTACTTGGTACTCGACGTACGACCCTATGTGCCGAACCCTCTGCGCTGTTTCAAGTGTCAGAAGTTCGGCCATAGCCAGTCACGATGCCGTCACGCAGCCGTGTGTCCTCGTTGTGGCAAGACCGGGCATCCTGAGAAGGAATGCAAGGCTAGTCCTTGTTGCCCCAATTGCCACGGCCAGCACACAGCTTTCAGCAAGGAGTGCCCGACTTGGCTCCAAGAACGCGCCATCCAAGAATATAAGGCGCGAAATGGCTGCTCCTTTCAAGAAGCCCGAAAAGTTGTCTGCCCGCCAATCACAACCCCAGTCATTGGCCGGTCATATTCAAAGGCAACCCAGATGGTCACGAGGTCGGCAAGTAATTCTACTGCCGACCTCCCAAAGCCCGCGGTCAACAGGCAAGTCTCTGTGCCAAAGATCATCAAAAATAAAAAGGTTGCTCCTAAAACTGTGGTACCCACCTTCCAGGTACCACTCACTAACCGCTATGGGGTTCTTGGGGAGGATGGGGTGGACTCTTCCTCCACCCCCCCTTCTCCCCCTCACCCCTCCTCTATCATTTCTTCTTCTTCTTCTTCCACCTCACAACCCATCTCTCTGATGGAGTGTGAGGTGGGCCTTCTCCCCTCCCCCCAGCCCCCTCCCCCCCTCCCCAGCCCCCTTGGTCTACTCCACCTCCCCCTACCCCTCCAGCAGACATACCCTTGCCAATGGAGGAAGACATCTCCGACCCCCCTCCCCGGCCTGACCCCGGGAAGGGCGGAGTCTGTCACTCCTCCAAATCCCCCACTAGACCGCCGTCCAATCCAGGACGGCAACCTAGAAAACACTCTGCCTCCCCCGTAAGGAGGAGTCAGAGTGCTTCTTCGAAGCCGGGGCCTAAGTGCTCCAAATCAAAAAGTAAAAATTCATAATGGCGGTCCTGCAATGGAATGCCGGCGGAATCCGACCTTCCATTGCAGAATTGCAACATTTACAGGCCACACTGTGCCCACGGGTGGCCTGTATTCAAGAAACAAAATTCGCCCCGGCTTCAACCATAGACTTAAGAGGATTTACTGCGTACCATCACATTCACACGGAGAACCAGATTGCTTCCGGTGGTACCACCATCTACACCGACAACCACACACTCCACAGACAAGTACATCTTAAGACGACCCTCCAAGCTATTGCCGTACGGGTCACCCTGCACAGACCAATCACGATCTGCTCAGTTTACATCCCACCAAATTACCCCCTCAAAATAACCCAACTAAATGACTTTAAGTCCCAGCTCCCAAAACTCTTTATTTTACTAGGTGATTTCAATGCCCACAGCCCCTTTGGGGAGACAAACCTATAGACCAGAAAGGTAAAATAATAGAAAACTTTTTATTTCAAAATAACATCTGTCTCTTAAATGATAAATCCCCAACTTTCAGAAACAGAGCCACTTATGGCACTTCATCCCTTGACCTTACTTTTTGTACCCCTGAACTAGTCCCAGATCTTGAGTGGTCTGTGCTGGATGACCGTACGGACCATTTCCCAATTCTCCTCAAAAACAATAGCCTCCAAAACGACCCGATCCCAGAACGCTTCAACTTCAAAAAAGCCGACTGGGACGGGTTTGCAAATCAATGTTCCAAGATTCTTAATCCCAATTTCGACCACAACTACAATAAATTTCACGAAAAACTCTTAGAAATATGCCACAATCACATTCCAAAAACAAAAACAAAACCCCGGAGGAACAAGATCTGGTTCTCTTGGGAATGTGAGGACGCAGTAAAGAAAAAGAAGGCAGCGTATCGAAGAGCCGTCAACAACACCACCATAGAAAATAAGATACTTTATTTAAAGGCTCGAGCTGAGGCACGTAGATGCCTCAGGGAGAGCAAAAGACAATCATTCCAAAAATACATCTCCAAAATCAACAGCCAGACACCACTCAATCAAGTTTTCCAAATTGCTAAAAAATTCTTAGGTAGACGCACAGACACCATTCGGCACGTCCAGAGGCCGGATGGAACAACAGCTGAAACACAAGTAGACATTGCAAACACAATAGCTACATCTCTAGCCAAAAACTCATCCCAAGCAAACTACAACACCACTTTTCAAAACATCAAAACTAACAGAGAAAAACAACACCTAAACTTCCACTCAAACAACACTGAAACCTACAACGCAGACTTCACAATAGACGAACTAACATCGTGCATCTCGGACCTGGGCGATACAGCCCCGGGACCGGATGACATCCACAACCAAATCATTAGACACTTACCCTCAGAAACACTCACACTCCTCTATCTATTATACATATACAACGACATGTGGCGGTTGCACTCCTTTCCGGAGTCTTGGCGTCTCGCCACTGTCATTCCAATACCCAAACCAAACAAGGACCACACACACGCATCCAATTACAGACCAATAGCACTAACGAGCTGTCTCTGCAAATTAATTGAAAAAATGATTCACAGGCGACTCATGTGGTTTCTGGAAACGACGGGCTCGCTGAGCGGTCTCCAGTGCGGATTCAGGAAAACTCGATCCACTCTGGATCACCTGGTCCGCCTGGAGACCTTTATACGCGAGACGTTCGCTGAAAGAGGCCACATGATCGCCATCTTTTTTGACCTAGAAAAAGCCTTCGACACAACCTGGAAGTACGGCATTCTTCGAGACCTGCACGCACTCGGCATACGCGGTCACCTCCCTGCCTTCATTGGCAACTTCCTGAAGAACCGTTCCTTCCAGGTTCGTGTCGGATCCTCCCTTTCAGACCCCCACCAACAGGAGGAAGGAGTCCCCCAGGGGAGCATCCTTTCTCCTCTCCTTTTCGAAATTAAAATTAACTCCATAGTGAAAACCCTCCAAAAAAGCATAGACAGCTCGTTATACGTTGACGACTTCTTGATATGCTGCCGATCGAAAAATCCTCATTTGAGATCTATGGAAAGGCAGCTGCAAACGCAGCTGCAAAAACTTGAAACGTGGGCAAACAACAACGGTTTCAAGTTCTCCCCGTCAAAGACGGTTGCAGTACACTTCTGCCGAACTGGCAGACGTGTACTGCAGCCGGATTTGACACTATACGGGGAAAGGATTCCCGTCCAGGACCAAGCTCGTTTCCTCGGCGTCATTTTCGACAAAAAACTTACATTCATACCACACATCAAAGACCTTCGTGTGAGGTGCCAGAAAGCGTTAAACGCTTTGAAAATTCTATCACATCTGGAGTGGGGCGGGGACTCAAAACACCTTCTCCACTTGTACATCTCCCTTGTCCGGTCCAGGCTTGACTACGGCTGTCAAGTCTACGGATCGGCAAAACCACACGTCTTAAAAATACTAGATCCAATACAGAACCAAGGACTCCGCCTCGCTCTGGGGGCTTTCCGCACTTCTCCGGTGGAGAGCCTCCAGGCCGAGGCCAACATTCCACCACTCTCACTCAGACGCACACAACTCTCACTACAATACGCAGTTAAACAGAGCTCAACACCGGAAAATCCAGCGCACAACAGCATTTTTCAAACAAATCCAGAAACCAGAAACAGATTCCAAAACAACGAAAAACTCATCAAACCTTTCGGCCTCAGAATCCTTGAAGACCTCAAAAACTTACACTTTTCCAAACAAGACATCCAACAAATTCTTTTCCCCGACCTCCCTCCGTGGCACCTCACCAAGGCAAAAGTAGATTTACAGCTGACCACACACAACAAAGAAAGCACAAACACCAAAACATTTCAAGCAGAATACAAAAAACTAATAGATAAATACCCCGGTGCGGAGCTCATCTTCACGGATGGCTCCAAAAAAGACAATGAAGTGGGCGCCGCAGCCCTATCTCCCAACAATACACACCAGAGGAGACTCCATCCTGAAGCCTCCATTTTCACTGCGGAGGCCACTGCCATTGACATGGCACTGGACTCTGTAGAAAATTCCCCTAACAAATCTTTCCTTATCCTTTCTGACTCTCTGTCTTGCATCACCTCACTCACAAACTACACACTCCTACACCCAAAAATAGTTATGCTACAACAGAAAATCCATACACTATCCGAAACAGGAAAAAACATCATGTTCGCATGGATACCCAGCCATGTGGGCATCCGAGGAAACGAGCTGGTAGACGACCTGGCGAAGAAAGCTTCATCCCTTCTGCTGGGATCAACGACAAACACTCTCCCACAGACTGACTTTAGAAATAAAGTCAAAAAGTACACCTCCAGTCTGTGGGAGAGCCACTGGGAAAACCAGAAAAATAATAAATTATATGAAATTAAACCCAGACTAGAACAGCGAAATCCTTCGGATCTCTCCAGAAGAGACGAAGTCATTTTTACTCGATTGCGCATCGGACACACGGCCCTAACCCACAAATACCTCCTACAGGGAGAAGAGAAGCCGTTCTGTGTCGGATGCGACACAGATTTTACCATTAGACACATTTTAACAGAATGTCTAGACTTTGGAGAGATCCGAAGGAAATATTATAAATGCTAGATATTGCAGGATATTTTCTCCGTCGTTGTTCCCAGCAGAATTTTAAATTTTATAAAGGCCATTGGCCTTTATGGCGAGTTGTAAAGTGAATCTGATATTATTTAAAATTTTTATTGTTACTTAAAAGTTGTTTTAGATCACAAATGTATTTACACCGAATTTGAATATTTTAACTTTTTAGCATTTTAAAGTAAATTAGTTACCAGTCGTGAAGTGAACTTTCGCAGAGGTGAACAACTTGTGTTTCGCGCGCTCATATGACCTTAGCAGTTGCGAGCGCCGTAAAACCTTATACTACTACTACAACAAAACAACAGTACGAGACCTTCTCTTCGCCGATAATGCTGCTCTTGTTGCTCACAGTGAATCAACCCTACAAACAATGATGCACCGCCTATCAACAGCATGCAAGGACTTTAGCTTGGTCATCAGTGTAAAGAAAACAGTCGTCCTTACCCAAGAAGGTGCAGAGCAGACCCATATGTGGCTGAACGACAAGGAACTTGAGACAGTGGACAAGTTCTGTTACCTGGGGTCTATGGTCAGCTCTACATCATTTGATTATGAGGTCAACATCAGGATAGGGAAAGCAGCAACAACTTTTGGAAGGCTGACAAAATGAGCATGGGAGAACAAAAGATTAACCGTCAAAACAAAGATCAAGATTTACGAAGCATGTGTCCTCAGCACACTCCTTTATGGATCTGAAACATGGACCTTGTACAGCAGACAAGAAAAGCGCCTCAACATTTTCTATCTCAGATGCTGCCGCAAGATCTTAGGCATTTCATGGCGTAACAAGGTTACAAATGTTGAAGTGTTGGCACGGGCGAACCTCCAGAGCATGACAACTATCCTGTGTTTAAAAAGATTGAGATGGCTAGGCCATGTCAAGAGAATGGATGACAAGTGGATTCCGAAGCAGCTTCTCTATGGAGAACTTGCCCAGGGAAAGAGACCAAGAGGAAGACCAAAACTGAGGTACAAAGACACCTGCAAAAACAGCTTATCTAGTCTTGGAGTAGATGTTAGCATCTGGGAAGAAATAGCTGAGGACAGGAAAACATGGAGGAAAATGATAAAGGAAAGAACTATAATGCTAGAGAGCAGCCTTAGAAACAACCAGGCTGAGAAGCGCCAACGAAGAAAGAAAAACAGCGGAAATACAGAGCTTCAATCTACATCACTGACATGCAAGCTCTGCAACAGAATCTGCGCTTCAAACACAGGAAGAATTAGCCTTGAAAGAAGCTGCTTGAAGACAACCTTGAGACCATCTTTAGCTAAATTGACCGTCTGCATAGACGAAAAGAGCCATACGTTTATATACATAATGTTTTTCATTCAGTTGATCCCTTACCTGTGTCAGAACACATATGTATCATGACGTGGTAGAATCAGGCGCTCGTCAATTTTTGGGCTTGTGGAGTTATTGCTATCATCTGAACACTGATTTGTTTCCCTTGCTTCCAATGAAATAAATATCCATTAATCTTTAATAGAATTCAAGTTATTTGCGATTGAAGGAAGTGGTGTCGCCTGGTTTCAGTGGTGAAATTAGAGAGAAAATGGCCGCCAAAGTTTGGTAACTCCAATAGCTAAAGAGTCTTGGACAACTGAAAATTTACATATTTTGTGCCTTTAAGAAATGCTTTTCAGTAAAATTTGCATGGAAATGTGTTTTTACAGACTTCAACAAAAGTTAAGGACCACCTTGACTGACAGTCCTAATTTTTTTTAATTTCCGAAAAAAAGACAGCAAGGAATGTTTCAAAATTTTTGCTCCGAAAGTGTTAATGGGTTACCAACGTGTACTGCGAAGCCTTTAGCCACAGTGTGTGTATACGCTTTCATCATTTGCATTTTGTAAGTAGCGAACACACGTTATGTATGTGTGTGCGTGTGTCTGGGTTAAGTACGGAAAATTCCTGCTAAGTGCTTTTCTCAAAAACACATCAGACCCCTGGCAGGATTCAAACCGCCACCTTTCAGTTTTTGACCCAAAAGCCTATCCACTAGACCACCAATGCCACGAATTAACTATTTGCTTATAAGAAATTAAATCCCATTTCTGTCTTAACCTTATTGACCCAAGCATGCTGTTAAGTATGATTACCTTTACCTGTCTGTGCACAGAAAGGATGTCTAAGCTGGCAGTGGTGTATGGCAGTCAGTCCACTGCCGCTCGGGGAGGGGGGGGGGGGATGTATGTGCAGGGTAATGGGTCCTATAGCCCCAGGGGACAGGACTCGTAGGGGTAAGCAAAAGAGGTATGCAGTGCAGATTTTGTTGTTGTTTTTTTTTATAAAATTCAACGATGCCAAACATTGTTTGGTTTTCAGGGAGCAGAAACTGGTGTTAGTGGAAAAGACTCTTCAGACTCGTTTAGACAACGCTACAAAGATTATTGACGACAAGCTGCCATTCATTGATTCCAGTAAGTGAAAAGCGAGTCAATACGCCGTAAGTAATAAACTATGTTGGACCTAGTTAACTGCATTATGTGTGTTCAGGCCTTGTTTCAGAGACAAACAGAAAAGTCGACATCTAGAGGCCTCACCTAGATTAAGGGCTTGTGAGATAAATTCTTAGTTTGGCGCTCATATGACCTTATGCAGTTGCGAGCGCCGTAAAACCTCTACTAAAACAAAATCCTTAATGGGTCTGAGCGAGTCAGTAATGATTTGGATGATGTTAAATCTCAGAGAAGGAATTTATGCTTGTCCAGTTTCAACTTTTAACTCTAAAGAACATGCTTGGCTGGCAGATGCTCTGGTTCGGTTTGCTCCTTTCTTCCTATCAAGCATCTTTCATCCTTATCTCTCCTCCTTTTTTGTTTGTTACTCCCTTGTAATACCTCACCTCTTCAGCACCTATATGATGACCGAATTGTGTCTCAAGTGCCGTAAAACTCTTACTAAAAAACAAAAGCTGTAGAGAACAAAGTCATGTTAGGCTTGTACCATAGTCATGTTGTTTGAAGACTAGGCTATGAGTGGTTAGAGGGTGCCAGTGTCAAAGTCTTACTTTTGTCTTGTAGCTCTTTCTTTTGTGTTGATGGTCTTGTGTCTTCCCAGCCCAAAAATCGCCATGGTTAACGAAGGATTGTTTGAACGTACATTGTATTTCTCTTCAGCAATTAACTTGTACTCGCTCTGAGCAAGGTTTGTGTCAGTGGCAGGTGAACATTATGTCTACCAATTTCCTTTCAGTGTTACTGTGCTTGTCATCTGTTCTTCGTGAAAGATGGATGTTGTTGTGCTGACTCATTGTATACTTTCGTTCAGTTTCAGCATGGGTGGTTGGCTGTTGCTCTGGCGTGGTTTGCTCCTTCTTCCCTATCCAACATCTATCGTCTATTTCTCTCCTCCTTTTTTTGTGTTTGTTACTCTCTTAATACACGTCAAATCTTCGGCACTTATATGACCTTATTGTGTTGCAAGGGCCTTAAAACTCTTACTCAAACTAAACGTCTCATCCTTTTCTTTGTATGTTACTTTCTTGTAATACCTCTAATCTTCAGCACCTATATGATGACCCATTTGTGTTGCAGGTGCTGTAAAACTCTTACTAAAACTTACTTTTTAAAAACTCACAGAATCAGTAATGCAGCCACTGATTTCTGATGATCCCCATGCTTTATGTCACACGAATTAATCATGTTTCAGAAAATGTTCCAGAACATAATAATTGGTTTTGGGTGGCTTCAAGTCTTGAGTGTAGACTCAGGGGTCCTGTATAGTTAACCCTTTAAATCACAATCCACTGCATTTCACCCTAGCGTTATATCAAAGGGTCTCTTGCGGTATGAAAAACTCCTTGTCTGTAACAATTCTTTCATTTCCAGAACTCGGTGACCTGAACGGTTTTAATCTGCCCACCCACGACAGACGGCATCAACTCCGAGCTAAGGAGCTCATCACGCAGGGTGCCAATCTAGTGGGGGAGCTGACACAAGGCCTGTCCAACTTCTTCACCTACAGCGAGCAGAGGTCCAAGATTTACCCAGCAGATGGAGTCACAGAGCCTCTCAGCCCTCTCAATATCAAAGTAAGAACAACGATTCTGCCTGTCCCAACTTTAGGACTATGTCATTTGAATAGTTGTTTGTTTGTTTTTTCCCAAGATTTATGCTTTCTTGTAGGAGATGTGGACGGAAAATGCTAATAACTAGCCTAACTGTTGCATGATTATGTGACTGCCATTAATAAAAATTAATGGCTTCCAACATTGTGATATGTAGCACGGATAATCCTGTCACCCTGGCAGTAATCATTTATATGTTATGGTCACAGAAGAAAGAAGTAAAAGTAATTGAACTGTATGGTCAACTAAGATAAATGGTTAAACAGAATGATGTGCTGGCTAAAAGCTTACCTCTAATCATTTTATACGAATTATATCAGTTTGTTGGAGCTTTTCAATGGTAATGGCAATGTATGATTTACTTACAAAGGATAACATTCAGATTTCTCTTGCTTTTGCCTTTATGGATTTGTTTATTTCATGTGCAAATTGTAAAGGTTTGTCCATTTTATAAGTGGAAATAATCTTATGAGTATGAGTGGTATGTATTATTCCTGTTTGTTTTTCTCATTATTTTTTTCCAAAGTTCTGCAAATACCTGCATGAGAATATGCTGCATCTTCGCCCAGTGGAACAATCTCTTCGGAGCTTTGTCAGCAACCTGAAAGATGATTCCCTCACAGTTCTTGTAAGTCTGTGTCAGACATGTGGCTTCCTTGTCTCTCATTCTATGCCAATCATGAATTGATTTAATCGGGAGTGAAAAAAAAAAGATAAACTTATCCTTAATTCAACTTAACGTGAGAGGTCACAAAATTAAGGGTCATAACAAAATCTTTTTCCTTGCTCCTTTGATTTCCATCTTCTCTATTGATTGTTTTGATTGAAAGAACAATAAATTTTCTTCCTTTTTTTCCATCCATCTTTCTTGTGACTGCTGAAAAAAATCAAAATTGACTATCAATGCAGTTTGAATAACTTTCCGCTAGGATGGAGTGAACGTTCGGAAAACAACATTTGATTTGTTTCAGTAGATCTAGTACTGAATTTGAGACAGTACAGTAGGCCTTGACAACCAAATTCAAATGGAACTGGGTGCAAGAGAAACTATCGAATCGAATTCAAATGGCAGTGTGCAAGAGAGACCAAGGCTTACTCATTGTCTTATGAAGCGCTATGCCCTTCACCTGAGGCTTTGAGGAGAGAGTGGATGAGGTTATTGGGTTATGACGTCACACACACCTGCTCCTTACGCTCCCTTCATGGTTCCATCACGGCCCTGTGTGGGTCTACTGTGCGTTTATCTACTCTTAAGTAGGCCCTATTTTTCCATAAAATATCGCTCACGTTAAAACTTTTTTTTTTAGGTTTAGTAGTTTTACGGCGTTCGCATCTGCATAAGGTCATATGAACACCAAGGGGTGAATGTCAACAGAGAAGTCCTTACAGGGAATCAGACTTACTCTGCTCACCTCTCTAGCTTCAACAGCACAAAGTCTGCTTCGACTATCAAGGCACCCCGGAAATAGCGGGTCACAAGAGTGTGACGAACATACAAAAAAAGCAGAGGAAAAATGACGATAGTAAGGATTAGGAAAGAAAAAGCTGCAGTTCCATGTTGCAGTTCAGGCACAGTTATGAGCATGACATTGTCGAATGCGACACAGATTTTACCATTAGACACATTTTAACCGAATGTCTAGACTTCAGAGAGACCCGAAGGAAATATTTTAGATGCAAAAAATTGCAAGATCTGTTTTCCTTCGTTGATCCCAACAGAATTCTGGATTTTATGAAGGCCATTGGCCTTTATGGGAAATTGTAAAATGAAATAAAATTGTTTTAAAATTTTATGTTATTTTAAAAAGTTATTTCAAATTAAAAACGTATTTACCTCAAATTTTTTACATTTTAACATTTTAAAATCTGATTATTGACCCGAACCCAGTCGTGCAGTGAACTGTTGTGAATGCAACCAACTTGTGTTTCACGCACTCATATGACCTTATGCAGTTGCGAGCGCCGTAAAACTCGTACAAAAACAAAACAAAACAATTCTACTGTGCATAAGAACTGGAGATGTTAATGTCCCCCCCTTTGGGAATGGCCTAAAGACACTTCGGTCAGCACCGCCCCGGGGGGGGGGGGGGGGGGGGGTAGTCAAAACTTTGCTGAGAAACATCGGACTAACCTAACAATATACACGCACAAAAAAAAAAAAATTCAGCCTTTGCATGCCTGCAACCAGGGGTTAAAAAACACTTCCATTCAAACGTTTTTGTGTTTGAGTTGAACCCAACATAATCGTTTGATTTTTATCATTGTCAAGAAGAGGAGGAGCTGGGACCTGATGAAAAAGGTCAGTTTAACAGAAGATCTACTCAAGCTACGTCAACACTAGTGGAGTTGACTCTATATCATTGATATCCCAGAGGGTATCTGGTATTATCCCGCCCTTGTGTTCAATGCGCATCAGAATAGCATCCCTAGCGTATCAGGATTACTGTGCATCAACACAACTGTTGGCATATCTTGTGTTCATCATGGATTTATCGTGGTGTGTAAGGATTGTAGCCACTGCCCAATTTGAAACAAATGTTTGCATTTCAGGAAACGGCAACAGAGCTCCAACCCTTTGCAAAGCACTTCAAGTGTATGGTGGCTTACATGAACAAGCTACTCCCGTACTATATTTCAAGGTGAGCTTTTGTTTTACTGTGGTCAGTCGTTTATACAAAACAGAATACAATTCAGAACCGGCGTCTGTAGTGTAGCAGTTACACGCTTCACTGTTGCAGGCAGGAGACTTGAGTTCGATTCCTGAGTGGGGAGAATTTTTTATCTCACATCTCAGTCTCGTAAGCACAAGATCAATAGATTTGAACAATGAATACCCCCTTGAACAGTTTATTTAAGCTCTAAGGTTGTGTTCAGAAGGTTAAGAATCCACCAAATTCCACATTCTTCATTAACCTGGTTTCTGGTTTTCTACTCACGTGAAATTTTTCAAGCGGACATATTATTGTCAAGATTATTGAATAGACATGGAGAACAAAGCTAATGATTATAAATTGTCAGTGCTATGGAGGAGTTGTAGTCACCTTTTCGTGTGATTGATAAGTCCTCTTTGTCTTCCCGAAATATGTTTATAAATAGTTTGTAGAAATTATTATGACATGGTTCATATTTTGTCAACAGCCTGTGATAATATGTGTGTGTGCCTAAAGAAAGGTACCAAAAGTCAGATTTTGACCATATTAAGTTAATGGTTGTACCTTATAGGAAATTCAATGCTGAACACAGGGGTTTTTGAATTTTTTAGATATCTCAAGTAGTTTTGGAGATATTGCACATTGTGCGAGGTATGATATAAAAATATAATTTTGAAAAAATGAGCTTTTAAGTTTAACAAACATGAGAGCACATACAAACTTTAAAAATATAATTTTTCAAATGAATTTTTTAATGGAAATTTCATTTCCAATTTGGCATTCAGTTGACATCGATGTCATGAATGAAATTCAATGGTAAAACATAGCAGGGAAGAGAAAACTTGCTTCAACAATAGATTTTAACACCTTTTAAAAGCAGTTTTCATTATTTGTTTTTATGATACCCTTCCCTCAGAATAATTCAAAATAAAACATTTAGAAGTCAAATCAATGAAAACCCTTTGAGCGCATTGTAAGAAAATTTTGGATCTAGATCTATCATTTTTTAATGGAAACACATTTTAGTCAAAAAAGTGATATTTGGCACTATCAGTTTGTAGCTCGAAACAGTCTGGGGCGACTTTTGGTACCTCTCTCTAGGTGCACACACATATATTTAAATATCTCTTGTTTTGTCAGTTTGGATGAGGAGAATGCTGTGTCGTCTTGCACAGCCACTCTGGCCTCCAAGAACAAAGATTTACTGCATTCCTTGAAGAAGTTGAACGCCGTCTTCAACAAACTGGACACAAATGTGTCTTTACTTGCTGCTCAAAGTAAGAAACTGAGATGCTAATTACTTATTGAAAGCTTGGGTTTGTTGGCAGGTGCACTGGTGTGGTTTGCTCCTTCTTTCCTATCAAACATCTATCGTCTTTATCTCTCCTCCTTCTTTTTTGTGTTTGTTTCTCTCTTTTTATATCTCTAATCTGAATGATTGGGCCACAGGTACGACAGGAAGGAGGATGTATGGCAACATGAATAAACCACTGGTCAAAGATCCAATCAATGAGTTGAGGAGGGGAGATCAATCCATAATCTTCCAACTTAGAACACAACATGTACCCCTCAACCAACATCTCAACCGAATTGGAGTAAAGCAGTCTGCTGCCTGCCCACTATGTGACTACCCCTCAGAGACAGTGGAACATCATCTGTTTTTCTGTAGAAAACAAACTGATTTAAGGGGATGTTTTCTTCCCAAGCTACCCCACACATCTAATTGCCTCTACTCCTCAAGACAACAGTTAGAACAAACATGCAACTATTACCGAATGGCATCATGCAGAAGAGTTGACGCTCAGATGCTACTGGATCGCTAACAACAACAACCACAACAACATTGCTCTAATCTTCGGCACTTATATGACTTTATTGTGTTGCAAGTGCCGTAGAACTCTTACTAAAACTAAACTTACTAAAAGCATTTACTACATACAGAGCTTCTTTTTTGCAACCCCCCGGGGCAGTGCCACTGACTGTAGTGCCTTTAGGCCATTCCCAAAGGGGAGACATTTCTCGTTCAAGCACAGTAGAATTGTAAATGGGCTGATTCATGTCGCGCTCATAACTGTGCCTGATCTGCAACAGGGAACTGCTGCTTTTTCTTTCCTAATCCTTACTATTGTCATTTTCCTCTACTTCTTTTGTATGTTTGTCACACTCTTTTGACCTGCTATTTCCGGGGTGCCTTGATAGTTGAAGCAGACCTTGTGCTGTTGAAGCTAGAGAGGTGAGCAGAGTAAGTCTGATTCCCTGTAAAGACTTCTCTGTTGACACCCACCCCTCATATGACCTTATGCTGTTGCGAGCGCCGTAAAACCCTCTACTATAATAATTTAAATATATTTTTTGCTTTTCAGTCCATATATTTTGCAGTAATCTATTCGCTCAACTTTGACCCCTGACTATTTTGGTTTTCTTCCACACCAGCTGTGTCCAAACCCAACGATTTTGTTATTGGATAATCCGTTTCTATCTGTTTGTAGTAGCCATTGTTGCAACAGGAGGCAAGCACCGTCTGGAAGAAAGGTTAAAAATAGATTTGCGATATTTTTCGCTACATATCCTAGCTCTGTTGTTTCACAGTGGTGGTTCAGTGCAGTCCAAGATTCTTGACCTTCTGAATCTCAGAAGTGAAGATAGTGGCAGAGTCCACTCTATCTGTTCCTAATGTCCTGTCTTTCGAATCAAAATTGTCTTGACTTCCCTGATTTAAAGAAAAATTTGTTTGTTTATGAGATGTGAAAGTTTCTGTCAAGTATTTTTGTTGTTGTTTCATTCTTCCTGATCTTTCTTCTTTATTTCTGTTTGTCAAAAACTGTTTATGTATTGAATTCAAATTTTGTGTTGTGTTTACTCCATATGACCTAACTGTGTTACAAACGCCATAAAAATCTTAACTAAAACGAGGACTCATTTTGTGCAATCTTGCACTTAAACACTTTATGCTTTTTTAGATATGTTTTGACATGAATATGACTACGTTACTGAACAGAATAAAGCTGCCAAGTGGCCTCTCCCAACATCACCTTCAACCTGCCATTAAATATGATAAACTGGTGTGGCATAATCATGGAAATATCTCTGGTGCAGAGAATTAAGTTAACAGTTGTCTCCTTGTAGATAACTTGTACCAAAGGACTTGTAGTTTTGTATGACATTTTACGCTCTGAAAAAGAATTGTGTTCTTATATCAGTTTTACACATACCAGTACTTTCGATTTCTCTCGTTCAGGCGTACAAGGTCAAGGTCATCCGCAGGCATCCCACAAGAAATTTTTTTCACACCTGTGCAAGTCCTTGAACGATTTACACGATGCTATCAAAGGTGGGAATTCTGTCCTGCGACAAAAAATCTAATTTTCTGTGCTGTGCGATATCAGATTTTTGCTAAATGAGTTGTATTTAACTGATCATTGATAAAGAAAAAGACAGTTTCAGCAGTAAATTTTTTACTTTGAAGGAAGCACTCTGATAAAACCTTTCAGTGCTATGCTCTCATATGGGCCTAAAATTGCTTTTCTTCACTCAATAAGTCTATATACTGATAAATCTTAGATAAGATACATATTTATTGTCCCAAACCTGGCACATGAGTTTAGTGTTTCACCACAAGCACTCACATTCATACATACATGTACACACGCACACACTCACACTCACACTCACATGCTCACACATGCACACAGACACACACACGCATGTGCACACCTTCTTATGCAGTCTACACCTGTATCCAGTCAGCCTTGCGTGACATCTCCACAGGTACAGACAGTTGATATTGTCGCTGAGGTAAATCATGTGCTTCATAAAGAAAGCCCTATTTAAGGAAATGACTTTTGACTAAATGATAGAAAGTTTTGAGCAGTTTGAGGAGAATATAGCAACACTGAAGCGTGTTGGTGCATACCCTAGTTACATTCTGTAGAAGGCAATTCCCAAGAAAGACACCTGAAAAATGACAAAATGGATCTTATTGTCACTGTTTCGCTGGGAACATCAAAATGATTTTTTTTAAATGCATTAAACTACTCAAAATGAAAATTGGCTTTATACATAGCTACCTCTCCTTAATTAAATTGTTGAGCTTTCATGTACTTGGTGCAAGGGTCCATTTTATATTAACATCATTTGCACATGTGAAAATCAAGCAGCATCTTTAGAATTGACAGCTGAGAGTTAAGTATTGCTATTCATAACATGCGAGGTACCGTTGTAAAATCAGACGCTCGTCAAAATAATGAAACCAAAGGAACTTGCATTTTTCTGCTCGTTGCACTTCTCCCTTTTTTTTTGCTTTTTTTTTTTTTTTACGCCCTTTATGTCTATTTAAAAACACATTTCGAAATAGGTTTTACGGAAAAACATTGATCAAAGGCACCGAAAAAGATGTAAATTTGCAGTGTACAAGGACACTGTAGCTTTGGAAGTCAGTAAATTTAGCGGCCATTTTCTCCCTTATTTTATTTCTAACTCCAGGCGGCCCCCACCTCCTCCAATTGCAAATATCTCGAATTCTATTCAAGAAAGATGGACATTTTTTCTTCAAAAGTAAGATAAATGAACAAATTTTAAAGTGGTGCCAATAGCTGTGCTCAAGAACTGACAGGCGCCTGGTTCCACTGCATCGTGACACATATACATTATTTTCTATTCTCTGGAGCTATTTTTTTTTTTGTATAATAAATTCCTTTATTCTGTATGGTTTCTTCCTTCCACAGAGGTGTCCAAACATTACAATTCCAAAGTGTCCCTGGAGCACCAGCTTCCCACTGCAACCAAAGAGCTCAAACGAACCGATGAGTGTGTTGTGGCATCGCTCATTTCTTTGGTCACAAACACTGGAAAAGTGAGGGCTTTGATTCAAGTCTTTTGTCTGTGTTTGTGTGTGTGTGTGGGGGGGGGGGGGGTTGTTGAGTTTTTTTTCACTTGAGTTCGAAGCTCTGAACTAGCATGAATGTGACTGAGAAATATTTGCAATCCTTGAAACAGCATCAGTTCAGAAATATTCCATTAGGATCAAACCCAAGTCTCACCTATTACAGTCAAGTATATTACCTATTGTTTTCAGTGTGCCCTCCACTCCTATTTGCAGTCCCTCCGATTAGTATTTTTTTCTCCCAATATTTGTTGATGGTTTAAGGTTTCTGGTTTGTTTAAACTTATTCCAACACAGAACTGAGGACACTGATTGACCCTTACTGGCAGAGCGGGAGCAGCCAACCTCAGAAATGATCCAAAATTTTCTTTTGCAATCTGTATCAGTTTCTAACTTTTGACATGTAGATTCAAATACCAGTAATGTAGGGTTGAAACGGTCTAAGACAGCTTCCTATTTTGTGGAGGAGAAAAGTGGTTGTCTTAGACAGGTGGACATCATGGACAGTGTTATTATATTATTTTTAACGGGAAGAGCGACCTTTGAGGACCATTTTCTATTTTTGTTGTCCAAGATCAAATCTAAGTATATATATAAGTTAGGCATAGGAAAATCTCTTAATGCGCAATTTTATTTTGGCATAGCTACAGCGGTTGCTATGGAAATGGCCACCATCTTGAAAATAAACAATGAAATTCAAATCCTGAAGGCTTTCTATTTACTGACCAAATTTGGTGAGAGTATACCTGAACCAGACCCTATCAGTGTAACGGCAAAGTTTTTTTTCAATAAGTGCAAAAGAAAAATAATATGAAAATTTTCCAAAAGTATAAAAAACCTTTTCTAAATTTAGTTTGCGTAATCGCTTGCCAATGGAAAACTGTTATTTTTTTCGCAAATATCTCTCTTTTACATTGATGGCAGCCTTGCCATCTATGTTTCCTGAACATTTCATGTAAAAAGGATGAAAAATAAGGAAGGAGTAGGGGGAAAAAAAAAAAAAATGATATTTTGCGAAAAACGACAATTGTGAAAATTCACCATATAGCAATGCCCACCAAGCGCGTTTTGTTCTGCCGATTTTTGGCCCCCGCAGCGGAGATGTTTCGTGGGACGCACTAACGCAAAGGTTGTTGTCTTCAACTCGCTCTCACGCCGCTTCTCGTGAATGGATATGAATGAAACTTGGCAGCCAATGAGGAAAGAGGTCAATCTCTTAGTATGCAGTTTGACAACATTGTACCCATCCTAGAAGCAGTCGAAAACGTTTGCAAAAGTGGTTGATGTGGTGCACTTTGAAGATTTTTCGGAGCTGTGATTTGTCAAACTGACTGATACGTTGTACACCATTTTTCTTTATTCCCTTAAAATTTAAAGCTTCTGTGTTTAGCGGTTTTCGCGTAATCTTTAAAAATGTGGGAGTAACTAAGGGAAAAAGCGACATTGCCATTTGCACGTACTGGGTGAATGCCCTGCGGCTGGGAAATTTCCACTGAGTGACGTCATCAGCCATCGGTCGCCTCGGGCGCTACAAACGAGGCCCCGCTTATGTGAACTCGAAAGGGGGGGGGGGGATACTTGAAAACTAAACGGGGGCCTTGATAACTTGCATTTTTGTTGCATTTTAGTCACAATACAATAGATGTAGTCATTTTTATTTGCTTGATTGCATGACAGAAGAATAGAAACAGAAAAGCAAACATCTTGAGAAGTGGTATGGCATTGTGTTTGCGTTATGAAAGCCTATTCCCCCCTCTTGGGAAAGCACACACTTTGACTCGTCCTGTGTGCTCTGTTTGGAAAAGTGAGGCATTAAGATTGTTATTAAAGAGTATGGTACTTATTTAGTCCAGTCTGGGAAGATAGTCCCGTTTATACATTGTTATCGTTCACGCGTGAGTACGCGAGCGTGCATGTGTGTGTGTGTGTGTGCGCGCGCGTGAGAGAGAGAGAGAGAGAGAAGAGGGGGGGGGGGGTGTAAATATGTTACATTTATTGTATGAGTTGTAGCCTACACATGCGAAATATTCCCATGACTTGTCCAACAATGGAATATACACAGAGACGATCTTATTTTCTATAACAAAGTATGCATGCTTTTACTAGTACGGAACTGGATTTATTAGACTAATAAATCCAGCTCTCTACTTACATTTTTGTGACAAATTGATCCAGAGCATTGCTTGGCAAGGAGGAACCATTTATGTTGCCAAGTTTCATTCAAATATCATGACTTTGGGAGAACATATGACTGATAATCTTTGTAAATCTGTAAAGAACGCCACTTTTTTACCTGTTAATGTCTTTACAACTCAAAATGTATGACAGATATTAAAAATCTGACTGCATGACTAGATTCTTCATTAAAAAATGTACTAGACTGCTAAGTTTCATTTACATATTCCAAGAATTAGGCGAGCTATGACAAATATTGTTTCAAAACTCACCGAAAACCACCACATTTTTACCTATAAACGTCTTCATAACTCAAAAAATAGGATAGCTATGAAATATCTGAAAGCAGGACTAGATTCTGCACTAGAAAATGTACTGGGTTGCCAAGTTTCTTTTAAATACTCCGAGAAATGAGCGAGATATGACGAATATTATCTCAAAACTCACCAAAGAACGTCCCATATTTTGGGAGTTTTTCATTATATTATAAAAGTGTACCAGAAATTAATTGATTAAAAAATCCGTAACTTTTTTGTTTATTGATGGATTTTAAAAATTCAAAAAGTTCCATGCTCAGTGAAGATAAAGCTACAAAATGCACCTATTTGCAAACACTTTCTGGCAAAAAAAGGTTTTTCGTGGTCATTGCTACACCATATTAACCCACCCTCATGTTTTCAAGGCAATTTATGAGGAGAATAAAGGCTTTCTCAATTGTCTCCATGCTATTTTTAGTCAAAGAACTGGTTGATCTCCAAAAATCAGCCAACATCTCAAGGTGCATAGCCTGACCCAAAATTGGCAAAATCAAGGGTCGCTCCTCCCGGTAAAAACTCAGGGGGCTTGTGGAAAGTGGTCATTTGTACATGTGGTTGTCTTAAATATGGGGCCGTTAGAGCAGGTTCGACTGTACTTATTAAGTGATGGTGTGATGTTTTAAAAAATTTCTTCCTCCCTTTTTTCTTTTGTTTCTGACACGACAGATGGCAGCCTTCATGTCGGGTAACCTGGACTTCTTCGCTCAGCCCGCTGGCTACAGGACCAGGGGTTGTAGCGTGGGCTCCGAGTCGGCAGAGGGCCCCAGATCTCATCCTGCCGTGAACAACTTCAGGCATAAAGCAGCCCACTACCTCGCTCGTATCAACAAGGTATTTTGATGATGCGATGATTTCTGCTTTTGCTGGAAGATAGTGCAAGATTTTTTTGTCGTGTTCTGCAGGTTGGTTTTTTTTAATCTGTCAAAGCAGTCAGATCAGTTTGCTAATTTGTAAAGTCCATTTTCAAAACTGCATTGATAGTGGGGGGGGGGGGGGGGGGGGTGCGAAAAGTATGGATATGTTTTCGTGGAAATACCGTTATATAAATTCAGTCGTGGTTTATGCATTTAGAGTGGTTGAGACTGGATTTTTATTATCTTCTCAGGCTGCACAAATTACGATGTTAGTCTTGTCTTCTCTGGAAATCATATGTTGAGATTCTTACCATCTTGTGAGAGCCATGCTTTATGTGTCTTCTGCAGCCTTTCCCCGAGTCAGTGCCTCATTGTGTCGCTGTGCAGAACAGGAAAACTCTGCTTAGCTCAGCTGAAAGCAAGGAGGGACTTGCCAAACAGGTATATATTCGTATATTGGTTTGTGAGTCATGATGATTCTATAGTACTGGTCCTTCCATTGTCAAAGGTTCTTTCATCACCGTGTACTGGTTCATTAAATTGTCCTGGGTGTGTACTCATTACGTTTAAATGTTACGAAAGACTAGAATTTGGAGTTAAGTCCTGTTTGAATTTTACTAAATGAACTTTTTTTTCTCCTCCGTTTCTAACCGTTACCCCGATTTATTACTGATTACTATTCATAACTGTTTTGCTTTTGAATGTACACTGCATCTATGGCTGTATTAGAGTAATAGGTTCCTCCTCTAGCTTTTGGTCTTTATTTTACTGGTATCTTCTTTACAAATGTTGTCGTATGTTTTTTTGTCAGTGCTGTGTGGCAAAACATTGTGTTAAGACATCAGAAAGTTTGTCACTTCCTTTTTCCTTTTCTGTGACTAGATTGTGAACAGTTTTTTCAGGCTCTGAATGATTTAGCAGACAACAGAAGGGAAAAATCTCACTCAAACAAAATGAAAAACTGAACCATACTCTGTTGAACTTGTCCAAAACAATCCCCCATTGTCGAGGAGAAAAGTGGTCACCTTAATCAGGTGGTCCTCTCTTGGACAGTATCATTATAATGTAGAGAAAAACACAATTGGGAAGTGATCATTATTACAGGTGTTTTTTTTCCCAACAGGTGTTCATTACTACAGGTTCAACTGTCTCTAAATTCTTGTTTAAGAAAAGTTGTAACCATCTTTGTCTAGATAGCTTTAGTTTGTTTCAGAAACAATAATGACCTTCTTTTTTTTTTGGTAGTCTTAGTTTCAAAAGTATTTCCAAACTCTTAAACTTTTAAGTCTGTTTCAAAAGTTTTCTGTGTTTATCTACTTTCCTGCTCTTCAGATATCTGTATTCCAAGAAAAGCTGACCAAACTTGAACAAGAGAAGGAGCACTATTTGTTGGAGCTGCAGTTACTCAAGATCAAGTTTGAAAATGAACAAGTGGTAAGACTGGCAGGGGCATCTTTCTTTCAGCTAAGTTTTCACTGAGATTTTCGAGTCTTGAATAATGTTTTTATTTTGGTTGCTTATCTTTGTCTTTGAAGGTGGGGGGGGTGGGGGGGGGGGTGTTTAGATTAGAAAGAGTAAAGAAGGATTTTTTTCGATCTAATTCTTTGCAAAGGTTATCATGTTTCACTACTGAATGTTCTAGTGCTTTGTATACTGATTAGATTCTGGTTGATTGTTCCTGATAATTGTCGGTCTAATAATCTTACAGTGTTGCAAGGGACGTTTAACACATTACACCCTAAGGGTCAGGATGGGAAGTTCATTGTCAGATCCTAAGCAAGGGGAAGGAACCCACCTCCGGTGAATACAAGCCTTTAAAAAAAACATTTTTAAAATACTAAACAAATTCCCAAAATCTTGAAAAAATAAAAGTTAAAAAGAAAACTGAATGTAGTTTCAGAAAAATATAACTTTATGTATGCGGAAACTGTTGGAAATGTTCTTACTTTAGTTCAATCGGGGTGTCCGACCCGTCACTCTCACTCTCAGCCTCGCGGTCAGGCCCTAGATCTAAATTCTAGATTTTCTACATCTGATCAATCGGAATCGCCCCAAACTCTTGCTACAACGTTTTCATCAAAATCTGAGCCATCTGATTTGTCATATGCTTGTTTTTGCTCAAATCCATCGTTATTTCCGTTTTCGAACTCAATTGTGTCGCTTTTCTACAAGTCGAGACACTTTCGAAGTAATAATAATAAATAATAATAAATAGCATTTGTATAGCGCATGTCCCCGCTCAACAGCAGGCTCTATGCGCTTTACACTATAAGTGTCGGTAACGCGATCGCACTAATTTCGTTTCGGTATCAAACACAAGAAGAAACTTTTTGCTATAACTATGCAAATCAAAATCACGGCCCCAGAGTCTCGTCAAGGCGAGACTTCGTTTCTAAAGACACTGGGTCGGCGCGGGCGGTTCCGGGCGAGTCAAGAGTGGAGCGCGTAAGGGAATTCGCGGGCAAGTTAGGGTGTAATGTGTTAACTGATACCAGGGCTCCTCTTTACGCACAAATGTGTGTATATTACGCATTAAACCTGCAGATTACCCCCCTTTAAGTTTTGGTGGTGCGTGAGCGTTACTCTTTAAAATTTCATTTCGAGGGTTTTTGCATACGCTTTAAAACATAGATGGTGTGCGTCTGGCAAGCATCATTTCCCCACTTCTCCATCTCGAAGCCGAGTTAATGATTTGACAATTGACAACACACACATACCTTAAGGTAAAAAACCAAAGGGTGAGGGAACCTCTTAAGTTGGCCTAAAAAGGGGAGCCCTGTGATACAATTCCGCAGCTAAGTGTATGAGGCTGGACTTTTAGCTGCAGAAAACATAAAAACATGCACATATTGAACAGCTGCTTTTGAAGAAGCCCTAAACTAATTTTTTTTAAACATTTTGCTACAAGAATGTCTTCTGTTTTGGTTAAGGGATAATTTTAATCCTTTCAAAATCATACTCACTCTTGGATGTCAAGAAAGCTTTCTTACTCAATTTGGAGTAGGTGGGTGGTTGGCGGGTGTTCTGGTGTGGTTTGCTTCTTCTTTCCTATGAAACATCTATCGTCCTTTTCTCCCTTTCTTCTTTTTTATGTTTGTTACTCTCTTGTAACACCTCTAATCTTCTTACGCTCATATGACCTTATGCAGTTGCGAACGCCGTAAAACCTCTTTGGAGTAGGCAGAAATGCCTAGTTTCGTTCTTAAAACAAACAGTATTGTAATGATTCCAAGTGTGTTGATAGTATTATGTTGTTGCTTTCTGGAATCTTTATCGTGCTTCTGTGACAAGTGAATTATTCTTATATAAGCAGTTTCTCTACATAGTAAACAATTTAAAAGAAAGTTTTGTTCTTTTCTGGGCTTTCATATTTGTTACATTTCTACTCTCCTTATGTGCTAACAAAATCTGTATTCCTTATCTTTTATTCAAATATAGTTCTAATACAGTAAGCTGTTTACTGTTTTTTTGTGGGGTTTTTTTTAGTGTTTTTCGAATGCAAATATGTTTTGAAAGATACATGGAAAACGCTAATGTGATGTATGGTTTACGCTGTTATAGAAAACCAAACAGTTGGAGAAGGACTTGGAGTCGGCTCGCTCGACCTCAAGCGGCGTGAGTTCTGCCCCATCCGTCTCGCTGGAGGATCACATCGAGAAGCTTGCCTTGCCCTCGGACGCCAGCACTCGCTCGGACTCGGTGAATTCTGGATCATATATAGACACAAGTATGGTAAGTACTGGTGACTTTCAACTTCATATTGAGGTAACCATCCCAGCCTGTGGATGGTTGACGGGTGCTCTTGTGTGGTTTGCTTCTTATCGTCCTGCTCTCTCCTCCTCCTTTTTTGTGTTTGTTACTCTCTTGTAACACCTCTAATCTTATGCACTTATAAGACCTTATTGTGTTGCAATTGCCGTAAAACTTTAACTAAAACTAAACATCCCAGCCTGTTGTGTGGAAGACGAGGGTTTGATTTCCCCACCAGGAAGCCAGTCACCCAACACTCGAATGATCTGGCAGGTAGAAAGGACACAACAAAGAATTGCTGGCTTTTGGCTTATGATTGGCTTCACCATAATATGTTGTAAAATATTTGAGAATAGGTAAACCAAGCAAGTGAAGGTCATAAACCTATACATTTTCAGAGTAGAATGTAAACAGGAAATAGGTCTCGTTTTTGAAGGAGCTGAAATGTTTGGCGATATAGAAACTGGTATAAACAAATCATAATAACAACCCCAAATTACGGCCAAATAAATCAGCTATGACGCCAAAAACACAACTTAAGGCTTATTGAATTAGTCATCGACACTCGGAGGTTTAATGTTTGATTATGGAAGGACAGGGATTATAATTGACCCCTTGCTCGTTAAGTTGTCACTCACAGTACAGATGAATGAGGCAACAAACTGTAGAGAGTGTTGTCTGACGACTGAACTTTCCCTGAAGTTCAGGCCTTACTAAAATGTGGTTTATGGAAAGAAAATTCAGCTGTTCAGGAATGGTTATATATATATTTAGGTAGCGTAAACACGGCCTCGCGGGCACTCGCGGCCTTCCGACCGCGTGGTATCGATAAAATCGGGTTAATTCCGATCGCTGTTTCTTTGCTCTTTCGCTTTAAAACACCAAGTACCGTACACCTTGTAAAAGTTCAGTTTTTCCTCGTTACAATGGTGTAAGTTGTTTATATGTCCGATAATTAGGAGCTGGAGAATCGCCGACGAAAGCGAAGCCCCTCACGGTCAGAATGCGAGGTCGGCCGGTTGAAAAATTGACACGGCTGCATTCAAATGCTTCGCGGAACGAGGGATGATTAAATACCGTCTTTTCATTGGCGGAGAACTGTAGAGCTTTAAACGGGCTTTCTCGTGATATAAGTTTAGCCTTTGGCGTCTTTATAGAAAGCTTTTAAAAATACCGTCAAAATGTTTAAAGATCACTTTTTACACAAAATATGTAAAATACCGGTTTATAAAAAATATTAATTAAAAGATCAGTTTATTTCCTATTAGAATAAAGTAATTAAATTGGAATTATTTTACATCAATCCTTCCGCGAGACTCCGAAAGCATGTGACCCCGCACGCGGGGTACACTACAGTATAGAGCCGACTCGCTCGCCGCGAGGACCGGTGCGACGCCGGCCGGGTCAACGCTCGGTGTTTTTGTCGAAATAACGACAGATATCGTGTTTGAGGTGATAAAGTACTGATTTGTAAAGATCTCACAGTCTTGAAAAAAATTATGCTCCATATATTTGTTATAGTGATTGTACTCTGTTAATGTGGAGATGTTTAGTGCTCTTGGTACTCTTTTATTGTCTGTCAAACATGGGGTTGCAGCCAGTGACTGACTTTAACAAATTTGATCAAATTTTAAACTACTACAATTTTCTTAAAAATTGACGGAGATGTTGAAGAATGGTACCAAAATGCTTAGTGGATTCTATGCCTTTCAAATGGAACAGATAAATTTGGCATACAGCTAGTTTGAACATTTAGTTTCTGGTACCTAATATATTAAACGAAATTCTTCTTTTTTTTTTTTTTTTTTATATGTTGTTTTTCCTGTTCTAGCCAACTGTCAGAATTACGAGAGTACATTGCAATTCACAAGCTTTTTACAGATCATAGGAAAACCCATGCATTCAAAATGGGTTTAATTTAATATGTATAGATGTATTTACTTTGTGTGTGAGGGTTTTGGGAAATAATTTGTTAATAACTGACATCTTTCATCTCCAAATCTCGCATTTCTTATAACCCTCACAGCTGGGCCAGGTGGAGTCCAGTGGAGATGTCCGCAGTGATGTGGACACCCGGGAACAGCTGATCATGAGCCACTACAAGGGTAGGGTCAACGAACTGACGCTCTCCCTCCAGCAAGCAGACAGCAAGGCTGTGCACTTCCACGCTGAGGTTTGTTGGGATCAAAGATGGTCAATGAGGATGATTTATAGTTACCGGTACCTTTTTTCAGTCTTAACCATGAGGAGTTGGTCTTAAGGCCTCCACTAGGATGCAGTACTTACGTTGGCTTTGAGAAAGTTTTGAAGGATTACTCTAGTTCCGTCCCTACTCTTTTCTTTGGCCAGATGTACTTGTGTGATATTTGTTTTTTTAATGTCTCTCCTTCTTTCTTTTCTTACTTTTTCGACTTTCCATGGACCAAGGACTCTGCCTTGAAAACTACCAGCTTGTGCCTAGTATTGCTTGAAAATCATTTTATATTTCCTGTCCCTCTCAATTGTTTATATCTCAATTCTCTTATTCCAGTTTCCTCTTTTCAGTTTGTTATGTGGTGGTTTATTTGGCCAGAGGTCAGTTTTGAGTCTGGTTGTGGGTGGGTTCACGTTAGCACGATGAATGACCATCCTCTTTTGTGCTTGATGTGTCCACTGATAAGCTTAGTGGTCAAAGAGTTTAATGGTGAAGTGGATAAGAAACAATTAAATTGAAGAGTTAAGAGAAAGATACAATTCATGCAAGAAGCACTTTCTAACCACTATCACCTAACCCTCTCGATGGTACTGATTTTCAATTTTTGTGAAAAGATGTGTGTGTGCCTAAAGAAAGGTACAAACAGTCGCCACAGACAATTTTGAGCTACGGACTGATAATGACAAAAAATCAATTTTTTGACCAAAATGTGTTTCCATAAAAACATGAAATTTCCACCATTTTTTTAACAATGTGTTAAAAGAGTTTTCATTGATTTCTCTTCTAAATATTTTATTTTGAATTATTTTGAGGGTAGGGTATGTTTTAAAAAGATAATGAAAACTGCTTTTAAAAGGTGTGAACATGTATTCTCGAAGCATGTTTTTTTTCTTCCCTGCTATGTTTTATCATTGAATTGTAATCATGATATTGATGTCAACTGAACACCGAATTGGAAATGAATTTTCAATGAATAAATCTGTCCCCGTAGAATTATGCAAATTTAGATGGCCAAATTATGCCCAAAAAATGCCTAATTATGCAAAAATTATGCAAGTTACCGTAACACCATTCGCGACATGTTTTACACTTTTTCAACACGAATTTTCATGATTTTCATGTTTTATGTACAGAAAAATTTTTAACAGAACATATCAGTATCAGTAATTTGTTGTGTATTTGGGAAAAAACTATACACATCAGTAAAAAAAATATATATATATATATATATATATATATAATCTCTGTAACTTTCAGCTGTAAATCTAATCTAGATCTAGATCGGAAAGAAAAATGTTTTTTTTAAAAAAAAAGGACATCTGGACCTCTGTTTCTGGCACATTACTAAAACCAGGGACACCTGTCAAACATGAAATATCAGCAGACATGATAACAACAACTTTTGATGGATTGAAAAATTGAACATGCTCAAGGAACAAAATCCCAAACCATAACCAAGATTTTCCAACAAGGGAAATAACCAACTTTTCACTTAAATAAGACTTATTGTGGTGATTATTTCCCTTTAGTCACATGGCGAGGCGTTCATTAATTGTTTTGTGAAAGAAAGAGGGAAAAAAACGTGAAAAAACGCAGGGAATCCAAAATTATGCAAATGTTGCAGAATTACGCGAAAAAACGTGGCCGCGCCGCAGCCGCACAATCGCATAATCCTACAGGGACAGATAAATACATTAGAAACAATTGAATCATCATTTTTTTCAAGTTTGTCGGTGTTCGTAACTTAAAAGCTAATTTTCTCAAAATTAAATCTTATACCTTACCTCGCAAAATGTGCAATATCTCAAAAAACTACTTGAGATATCTCGAAAATTCAAACGCCACTGTGTTCAGCATTGAATTTCCTATAGGGTACAGACCTTAACTCAAAATGGTTAAAATCCGACTTTTGGTACCTTTCTTTAGGCACACACACAGATGTTTGTATCTCATGACTCAAGCAAGCAGTTGATTTGATGAGGGATCGCAACTTTTTTTAAAACCGTGGTACAATTTTTCACAGGTGAGGGCACTGCATAAACAACTGAAGATTGCAGAGAAATCTAAAGAGGTGGGCCAGGATGAGCTGAAACTAGCAAACCAAAGTCTAGCACAAGTAAAGGTAAGTGTCCAATCTGGAAATGATGAGAGCACTGCATTTTGAAGCATTTATAGAAGTTTTACTTTTCTAACTTTCGTACTCTTTTTTTAGGGGGGGGGGGGGGGGTGAGCAATTGTCTTGTCAGAATATTCTTTTGGTGGTTTTTCAATAAGTGTTTGAATTTTACTTGATTCTAATGTCATCCCTGTGAAAAACAGATTTAATGACACCACACGTCTATTGAACATATTTATAACATTCATGTCCCTCAGTTTCCACATTTTTAAGTTATAGTATATTTGTTTATGTGCTGACTGATTGAGTTGGCCATTGTTATGTTTCTCCAAAGTAATGCCTGTGGGTAGTTTTCGATTAACACATTACACCCTAAAGGTCTGGACTTGAAGTCCATTGTTAGATCCTAAGCAAACGGACGGAACCCACCCCCCGTGAATACAAGCCTTTAAAAAACACATTTTAAAAATACTAAACAAATTCCAAAAATCCTGAAAAAATAAAAGTTAAAACGAGTGCAGTAGTCTCCGCCTAAACGCACGGTGCTCGGGAGGGCTCCTAAGCGTGTGTTTATACGGAGCGTGCGTTTACATGAACCTGAGCAAAGGGAGGAAGGGACGCAGTCGTCTCGATTCCTTATTACTCTAGTGATCTCCCTTGGAGGAGGGGGTCATTTTGGCTGATAATGTGACGACAGGTGACTGTTTTGTGAAGGATTCCCAGACAGGGGTTAAGAATACAAAGGCGTTGAATGGGGGGGGGGGGGGGGGGGGGGACGACAAACTCAATGTAATGAATATGCACTAGATTCTATAAACGTCGGGAACAGATAGCCTAAAAGGAAACTGTTGGTCATAGTCATAGAGACGACGGACCGGCTACGTGGCTTTACCAAGCGACCGTAAATTCATGTAGATCTAGAATCATCCTCAAGAAACATTTTCTCTTGTGATTCGTTGAACAAGTACGTTATAAGTTCTTCGAGCGTAGCTTATTAGGCTTATTTGGCTAATATTTAATCCTATATGTGCCTGTCTAATGTTTTACAGCAATCACGCGTATTGCGCATCAGGCCTAGATCTGACTAAACATTACATGCAGTCACTCAAACTCAAACACCAGTCAGAAACCTTATCTCAAAGATACATTTCCAGTGACCAATCAAAAAACATTTAACTTAAGTCCCCCCAATCTCCCCCCCCCCCCCCCCCCCCAACATTTATCCGACCAGCCCTAGACCGAGACCTATGCGTCAGTGGAAAGTTAGGTGTGTAAACGCTGTCCATCACTCTCTTTGTTGGGCGGGGGCACTCTCACCAAATATCCGGTTTTCTAGTAAATTCTAGGCTTGTCTTATGCAGGCAGGGCAGGTTGTCGTGAAAATTTCCCCTTGCCAAGCTAAATTTGTCAGCGTGTTTCACGGATCGGAGCGTGCGTTTGTATGTCTAAATTATATAGTAAAAAACCCGTCAGAAGACGAAAGCGTGCGCTTGAGCGGAGCGTGCTTTTGTATGGCATGCGTTTAGGCGGAGACTACTGAATGAATGTAGTTTCAGAAAAATATAACTTAATGTATGCGCAAACTGTTGGAAATGTTCTAACTTTAATTCAATCGGGGGGTGTCCAACCCGTCACTCTCACTCTCAGCCTCGCGATCGGGCCCTAGATCTAAATTCTAGATTTTCTATGTCTGATCAATGTGAATCGCCCCAAACTCTTGCTACGCGTTCATCAAAGTTATCTGAGTCATCTGATTTGTCATATGTTTGTCTTTGCTCAAATCCATCGTTATTTCCTTTTTCAAACTCAGTTGTGTTGCTTTTCAACAAGTTGAGACACGTACAAAGTGTCGGTAGCGCGATCGCACTTCTATCGGCTCTAATACTAAAACTACGGGCCCGAAAAATTTCGTTTCGGTACCAAACGAAAGTAGAAACTTTTTGCAATAACTATGCAAATCAAAATCTCGACCCGATAAAGGCGAGACTTCGTTTCTTAAGACGCCAGGTCAGCGCGGGTGAGTCAGGGTGGAGCACGTAAGGGAATTCTCGGACGGTCCCGGGCGAGTTAGGGTTTAATATGTTAAGATTTTCCTACCACCCTTATGTACTGAAAATTCATGCTGTTCTCTCCTCTTTGCTCTGTCTCAGGATGAACTTCAGACAACAACCAGGAGCTATGAAGGTCAGCTGAGCATGATGAGCGAGCATCTGGCTGGGATGAACGAGAAGCTGGCGCAGCAGAAGGACGAGATTGATGAGCTCAAACAACAGTTGACGCAGAAATCTTCTTCGTCGTCTAAGGTGAGGGGGACAGTTTGTAAAGTTTAACTCCTTACAAGACTCAAAATGAGGCATGAGTTATTAGTAAATTTGAAAGCTAGACCTGGTTCACTTGACAAGTTGTTTGCATAAAAGGAAATTTTCCAGGAAAGAGGAGGAAAATTTGGAATCTCTTTCAGATTTGAACCTTGTACTTCCAGGTGCCAGTCAGGTTAACCCATTCCCGCTTAGATAGACCCAAATCAAATGTTGTGCAAGCACTCTTGTGCGTCAAATTCAACTATCGTCGCTGGATAATTTCGTGCTCGCAACTGACCATTGTCTGGATTTTCCCAAAGGAATTCATGTTTAAATGATGTTATCATGACTTTTGGTTTCGTGAGTTTTCCAGGGCTGCCAACCATTCCGATTTTTTCGTAATCATTACGATTTTTTAGCCTCACTACGAAATTACAATCGTAAGACGATTTATTACGATTTTACCGTCTGCAGATTTTTGGCTATAAAAAAATATATTTTTGGCTCTTTTTAAAATTTTACAAGTCTTAGTGCAGACCTGTAAATTGTCCGCCTATCCCTTAAAATCGATAGATGTCTGTGTTTGAAATTGTGATGTCAAGGGACATGACTCTTATCTTTACTGTGGGGACAAGATAATTAAGGGAGTGACACGCCCTTGGGTGACGTCAAGGGTCCCGCGGGAAATAGGCAGACATCGTCTGAGAGACTCACGGAGGTATTCAGTCGGACTCAGGACCATGACGAGGCAACACGGGGGCCCCCTGACAGACCCGACTCATCGGACCGCCAGGTCACTTTACATGAAATAACCGGTAACAAAAAATATGAAACAAGTTTAATGTAAACTATTTCCAGTGTAATTTTCTGACTGTGAATGTGTGTAGATTTTAAAGGTAATTGATCACTTTTTTTTTTATCTTGAAATTTCAGAGTGGCAAGAAATCCAAGAAATAGCGGCCCCTCTCCCCACATGTGCATAACCCGGAAGTCTTTCCTGGCCGGTCAATGGTTCCACCGTTGGGTCATGCCCCTACGGTTGTCTGCTCAGAGCTCCCCGGGCACCATCAAAGAAGCTCACCAAGTTTCCTCATACTGTCCAGTCTCAGTTCCAGTGCAGCTGCACCTCCTGTCACTTTGGTGCTCAGTGTCTTCAGAAAATTGAATGTCTCACCGACAAGTAAAATGAGGCACAAGTCGCTACGGTTGTTGCAGAGTGTTCCCAAAAAGCAAAGCTTTGGTTCTCATTGTTATCTTGTTTTTTCCAGGCATGTTCGGGGTGTATTTGTTGTTGTTGTTGTTTGTTTGTTTTTGGGGGTTTTTTTGTAGAAATACGTTTGTTTGTAAAAAATTGATATTAACGCAGTAATTCAACAGTGACATGTGCTTCATTTTGACTGGTCACAAAAACGTTAATGTGTGTGAACATATGTTTATTTGCTCTGTTTGAAATTTCCTCTACTTGTTAAAGGGTGTATAAGATAAGGTGTGCATGAAGAATCTTTTTTTGGGGGGGGGGGGGGGGGGGGGGTTATTCATTGTCCTGTAATTATTGTGATACCTAAAGGGTGCTCTGGTGTGGTTTGCTCTTCTTTCCTGTCGAACGTCTGTCGTCTTTATCTATCCTCTTTTTTTGTGTTTGTTACTCACTTGTAACACCTCTAATCTTTGGCACCTGTATGACGTAATTGTGTTTCTTGCAAGTGCCGTAAAACTAAAACAATATAATAATAACTAGATTGCCTTTTATGTGATATTGATGATTTGTCTGTGTAGTATCATGGAGAGATAAAGATGTCTTGGTGGTGTTGCTTTTATTACATTTCATCACGTATAAAGGCTGTTATTTTCACCAAAGCTTTCTGTGGCCAGTTTATCCACTGCTCTACATCACTTTCTGTACAAACTCATGGCTCGTAGATTCTCTAGTGTGTTTCAATCTGCTGGCAAGTTTGTCTTTTTCCCAGAGCTAATAGTATCATCTAATTGCAATTTCAGATTTGATAACCTTTCATTCATAGATTTAGGTCAAGATGTAACATTTATGTGTGTATTATATCAGTTACAGTGTAGTCACACTTGGCCAAAAGAGATGGAGCGCATCCCATCACTAATTTGTACTGTCACTGTCAAACTTTGAATCAAATTTTAGAAACCTAGGCCTACATTACTACTTGTACAATGCATTTTTCAGGTTTGTGCCTAGTCCTTCTATGTGAAAGGACTTGATTATGTGCAATGTGAATGCAGGTACTGAGTAATCTTTGTTTTTCCCTGTATTTTTATAGGGAATTAGTGCTTTCCTTTATCGGCATTTGTTATTATTTGAAGGAGGCTCAGTTGTAAGAAATATATTCCTCCTTTATACTAATTTGAGATAGTTTTAAGTAACAAAGCATTGAAGTGTGCATTTTTATAGAATGGGTTGTGATGAAAGTAGTGTTTTTTAACTCAATCCCACATTAATCTTCTGTCGTCACCTGTTATCGGCAACGAACTGTTTACCTAAATCACCCAATATGGCCCACTGGGTTAACTTGTAACCGGCCTCTGTCTGGATTTTCCCATTTCTGACTGAAAGGGGAATTTTGTTTCAGCTAACGTTATCAGGACTTTGGAGGGTGGGAGATCAAGTTTCTGCCAATGTTAAAAAAATTTTCCATTGAGCTTCAAGAGAGAAAATCATTGTTGATTGAATCTGATGTCTTTTCCGTTAATTTTTTTACTTTGTTTTCTTGAATCTTGATTGTCCAGATCTCTTTTGTAATGGTCATTTAGATAATTATAATTTAAACGAAGGAAAGGATGAAGTGAATGAAGAGAAAAAAGGGATAGTATAGAGAGATTGACCGTTCTGTGAGCTTAAACCTCAGTCTCTAAAGTGTGCTGTGTATATTATTTGTCACGTCTTTTTTTTTAAAAATAATTCAAAGTTGCCTCACTTTGTACAGAGTTGTGCCCCTTTTCATATCATGGGGGGGAGTGATTTTCAGAACGGGCTCTCAGGTGGAATTGAGTCAAGAGGAGAGTGCCATGTCAAGAGAATATCACCCTGTGATTTTTCTCCAGTGTATATGTGTGCATAACAATATTGTTTGTTTTGCTTAATGGCTTTTAAAAGCCCTGCTAGGTGATACATAATTTTCTGTGCAATATTCCAATGCTACAACATGGAAACTGGGAAGAAAGAATTGTCACTGTTGACGAAAATGTTAGTTTAAATGATAAACCATTTATGTGTTCTTTGTAACTGTAAATTGGGTTGGTTTTTTTTGTTTTGTGTATCTGTGTACAGTCCAGTGATCGGAATGACTGCATGAGATTTGTTTCATTAGGTGCTTGAAATCTCATTTTTTGTTATCCTTTTCTTTTGTACTACAACGTGACAACTCAAACTACAATTGTGTTTTTAATGGTCCAATATTGTGTCAAATGCTGAATAGTATTAATCAAGCCCTGGGCTGTTTTTTCCCTCAATTGTGAATTGATGGGTGCATTTGTATTAAGTTTCAATATTAAAGAATCATGTACCATAGATGACCAGGGCTTTATAACAGTTGGATCTTTTCTTCTGTGTCTGTCCACAAAAATACACTCGGGCACGGATAACTCGAACAAGTCAGAGATTCATTGAAAAATGCGTTTGACACATCCATTTAATCCAGATAAACTGATAATAAGAATATCAGTCGTGGAATAGCAAATTGTACAAGCTGGAGTTTTTCGTGTTCGTGTTATCTGTGCCCAACTATACACCCTGACTGAGAGTCACTCCGCATGAAAATAAAAAGGTCATACCGGTACAGTAGTCTCCGCCTAAACGCACGGTGCTCGGGAGGGCTCCTTAGCGTGTGTTTATACGGAGCGTGCGTTTACATTAACCTTAGCAAGAGGAGGAAGGGACGCAGTCATCTCAATTTCTTATTACTCTAGTGACCTCCCTTGGAGGGAGAGGGTCATTTTGGCGGATAATGTGACGACACGTGACTGTTTTGTGAAGGATTCCCCGACAGGGGTTAAGAATGCAAAGACGTTGAATATGGGG